AATAAATTTCAGTTACAGATTTATTAGAAAAGACTGGTTCATGCTTGTTGTAGGGAGGGTCTTATTCATTCTTCCAGATCCCACTGTGTATACCACAGTAGTGGATCTAAACAATAAGTACTTACAATTTAAGAACTTTCTCAACAAAATAGCATATCTTTTAATGTCTTATCTGGTTATATTGCTTCTAGCTTCAATGTATTACTATCTATTTTGACAGCTATAAACTAAAATTTAAAACAAACTTAAAACTCCTATTACACATTTTTATATCATTAATCCCAAATAGGTTCTATGTCATTTAGGTAACTGTTTACATGGTTTTACATAAGCTAGAAAGCACTGAGAATATTAAATTAATATTGTTATTTGAAAAAAAATTCTAAATATTAAAATGTAGTTTCAGAAGATTTTAAGATGTGTTTATGAGAGTCCCACCCACATCTTGCATGGGCAGTGGGAATCTCGTTCCCCTCAGTGCAATGGGCTGACTGAGAACTAAAATCTAGGGAAGAAAAAAAAAATAGAACACAGAAAGTAATTTCAAAAGCTGGGTTAGGACAGGCAAGCTGACCAGACAGATCGAGCTTCTGACAAAATGGAGCCCATGCCTGCTTTATTTATATTAGCAGACATCAGAGAGATTCTATAGTGTTCTTTTCCAAAACAGATTAAAGGTGAGCTGTTTAGTTCCCTTACGGGTTATGCCCATTTCTGGTGCAACTATGAGGAACCTTTCTAGCAGAGAGGAGGGGAAGGTCACATGCATTGGGTGATCTGTAAACAACGGAGAACCACAGGAAGTTTCCACTACCAGGCCTATTCCTCCCTGGCTTCCATGCCTAGAGAAGGTCTTTATGTATTTCACTGATGGCTTCCACATGAGAGTTTATAAAACAAATGAATTTATTATGAAAGTTAAACTATTAAAATATTTAAATGATTTGTTTACTATACAATTTTATAGTCTTATGGCATTTCTTAATTCTAAATCATGAGCATTAACTAATTCTACATTTGATGACCAAAATAGTTTTAAAGAGTTCCTTTTCTCTCACATTTTCATTCAGCTGATTTCTGAATGTTTATTTCCATGGCTGGGCAGGAATCCAAGGGTAGTTAAGCAGAACAGTACAGTGCTACTTCAGTCAGAATTCAATTGCACCTGCTTGAGTTAGACTCTGTAGTTCAAACACCTCCTGATATCTAGCCCTTGTGTTGTTGATTTCCCGAGAGAGCTAGATCACATACAAAACAAGAGGTAAACAACATGAATCTGAGGACACATGCCCAGCATGACGCCTAACATTTTCTACTAGGTAAACATAGATTCTAGTTTTCTAAAATCCAAATAAAAATTATTACAGCCAAAGGTATTTAACCACTAATGTTAGAGCTTATGTTAGAAACTCAGAGTGAGGTTTCTGAGAAAATTGCTCAAGAAAAAAAAAAAAGAAAAGAACACTATATATTTTCAGATTCTTCATTTAGCTTATAAATAAAAGACACCTCCATTTTTCTAGACTTATAAATCTGAAGTAATCATGATCCTCAAATAATGGGTCTTCTGCCCATTTCATAGGAGTGCATTAGTAGAAACTAAATCTGAGTTTGATAGTCTGGAGGAAAATACAAGTTCGAATAATTTGTTTCAATTTTAGTTTTTTCTGATATTCAAATAGAAACATTTTCTTAGAGTAACCAAAAATGACAGCAATGTCCAAAAATGGACATCATAGATAGGTTAATGGCAACAAACTGTAACTGATAAAATAGCTAGAATGCTGATTATGTTTTGACGGATGTTGTCCTTTACATGTGACAAGAAATAACATATCCAGAGCTATTCAGCCCTCATCCTTAGCGTCAAGCCCCTGAGGAAGAAGTGCTGTCAGGTTTCTTTGTGATGTGAACTCAAGTCAAAGAAAATAAAAATGGCTTCAGTGCAGCACGCCTTCATACTCTGGGAAAGCCCAATGACATGCAGGGTTCCTACTACACTAATTCATCTGGATTTAAAGTCTCTGAATAAAGTTTTCTTTATACTTATTATTTTATTTGTTTAAATTATTTTTACATGGTAACTTCTTCAATTAATATATTCTTAGGGTTTGAAAAAAATAAATATACAATGGTCAGTTATTTTGTTTTCATTACAAAATTTTAAGTAATAAATTTTGTCACTTAGTAGGTGTCATTATTACTAAATGTGCCTAAATTTCTTTGGGTGTTCTTTGGTCTATAGTTTCAGCCTATTAGCTTCTGTTAATAACTTCTGCCATGTTTGTGCATGTGTACCCACATGTTGTTAGAAGATTTTACTCCTTAGCAGAAGCTTCTGTGGACCCTATTGGCACATTATACCTGTGAGAGTCACAGAGTTTTATTAAAGATATGCTTATACGCTTATACTGTTTTAGAAAGTATGATGAATTTTGTAGTATTTCTATTACCATACTCGCCTTTTCTGATTTTCAAACAACATTTATATTTTTTTCATGATAAAATGGAATTACCGTGCATGTTATTTTCAATGGGCAATTCCTAAATTTCTACTTTGGAACCCAATTATTTTCATCTTCTCATGAGTTTGAACATTTTAGATAGTCTCCTCTCAAAATAACCATTCCCTGTAGTAGTATAGTCAATTCTTCATGTTTTCCTTCTAGAAAAGAACAGATTTTCAAACTTACTTTGTGGACAACTTAGTGCATCTTTTTACTGACTTCTAGTCGGAAAGTGATTCAAGTAAATTGTCATGCCTCGTGGGCTTTACATGTTCATATTCAATAAACTCTTAAATCTGCTGTTAATAAAACTCAAATTCTTTGACAGTTTATTTGAGATTTGTGCTTCTTAAGTTAAGCAGTAGATTTAGTTGTCAAATATGATCAACACTTAATAACCTCAGTTGGCTCCTTAACAGAATTTACCACATCTGTCCACTCCTTCTTTGAAACATTCATTTCTCCTGGCTCTAGTGTTCCCTTAGGTCCCTTCCTCCTTCTTTGGGATGCCCCTTTCCTTTTGCGACAATCTTTTTTCTTACACAGAATTTGGGTTGCTTTCATCTCAAAAGGGTCTCAGGATTTTCTTATCTCCTTAAAATTTTCTTCCAGATAGTATCATACTGTTCCAATTACCTTAAATTTATACTAATTTGCATCAACTTTATATTTCCTGTTCAGAAAGCACATTTGAAATCCACACACTTATTTGATCTCTGTTTTTCTTTCCATATGTTAACCTAATTGGGATCATAGTCATAACACATCAAAGCAATTGATTTCTCCAAAATTGCTTTACCTTAATTCAATTTTGTCTACCTAGTAAATAGGCCTATCCATTTTTGCATTGTAAAACAAACACTCAGTCACCCATATACACATGCAAACAAGACACCTGTAACTTCTCCCCTTCACTAATGCCACTCCAAAAAATGTTTTACAGGCTGTCTCTAATACATAGCAATGTTTAAGGTACTTCTTTCCATTTCTATTTTTCTCACTTCATTCAAGATGATTACATTTTTCTTGTTTTTAATTTTCCCAATACAAGGTTGGAAGTAGCCGCTGTGATTTTTCAAAAACATAAATCAGTCTTTCCTTTCTTTTTAAAATTTCTTCTCTTTGCTTGTACAGAGAAAGACTCTTTACCACAAGCTATAGGTCTTGCTTGTCCAAACACCTGGGCATCCATGTCTTTTGCTCTGTATAGTTGCATTGATATACATTGGTGTTTGTATTTATTTATTTATTTATAATTTTGCATTCAAGTCAAACTTTTAATTTAATTTTGATCTTTTTACTTTCTCCCCTCTATCTCAAATACTCTTTTTCTAAATCTTTCCACAAACCCTTTCATTTTTATACTTTCTGTCTAGATAAAACTTAAGCTGGGATTAAGGAAGAGGGAAGAGCTATTAGAGGTTTTAGGAGAGAAAAGACCATTTATGTACTTAAATAATTTTAGAAACAGTCTAGACATTTTCTAGAATAAATAATAATTAATTACTATATTTTTATTATGCATGTTAATTAGCTATCAATGAATAAAAAAAAACAGACTCAGAGATTAAAAAAAAAATGTCTGTTACAACTGTCATAGATGTATCTGTGAATTACCATGAACAGTGCTAGCCTTTGCTTGCCAGCTCTGCCAATCTCTGTTGCACTCATTCTTGTATCTTGACACTTTCTAGGGTGCTCTGCTCTAGACTGGAGAAGTTGACCTACAACAACACCACTTTATGATTCTATCTACTGCTGGGATGAGCACAATAGCCCAGGCATAGTTTTCTTATGAAAGTGGCAGGGCACAACAGGAAACCAGAACACCATCACTTTCAGCTCATTCTATTTCCGGAGAAAGCTGAAGGCCAAACCTTGGATGAGAAAATCCTGCAAGATTATAAAAATAGGAGTGGGACAACCTGTGGACCCTAGTACACAAATTCCTCCCTGAAATATTTTTTTCTTGTTTTAAATAAAGATTCAATCAAAGTGTTGTACATATTATGGTAGTAACTATAGACGTGTTGGTTTTCATTTTTCATTCATCTCCAAATTTCAACTATAAAGAAATACCAAGAAAAAATTTCCTTTGACATCTGCTGCAACCTCAAAATTCTTTGTACATATAGCAACAAGAATTTTTATCTTTGTATTTTTTCTTCCAACATACTACAGAACTACAAAAAGCATTTTTTTCTCTTATAAGTCATCGTGTTTCTATTATCTACTCTTATTCATAGAATTTAGCAAATATTTTTGAAAATAACTTGTGGTATTATAGCCTAAGTTTTAAAGACTAACAGATAAAATAATTGTGTGTTCTATAATAAAATAAAGTTTCTATGTAAATATTCAGCCAAATATGGAGATTAAACGTACAGCTATATTTTTTAATGTACTTGATTTAATACCTCCCTTTTTCAGTGTGTTTTCTCTCTATTATAGCTTCAAGGAAATATGAAGGATTACATTTTGTTTTTCCTCCAGGTACTTCATCAATTACAAGGTTGAAGATGACAGATTTTTCAACATTGATGCAAATACTGGAACCATTAAGACATCGAAGGTTCTTGACAGAGAAGAAACTCCATGGTACAACATCACAGTTGCTGCTTCAGAAAATGGTAAACTGCTCTTTATGCATCATAGGGAAAGATGTCACTTGAACACCAAATATCATACAGAGCTTTTCTTGATAGTGGGTTTCCCATCTTTTTTTTTTTTTTTTTTTTTTTTTTTTGCTATGAGAAACTAGCAGAAGATACAGGATGTGTTACACTTGTTTACTTAGTGTTGGATGAGGTGAGGAAACTCTTTACTTTTTTCTTTATTCCTAGGACAGCCCTTATCCTTGAGTGGAAAGTGTTTGATTCTCCTGCCAATTGTGAGAATTTTTTTCTCTTATATTTATGCATTACTTAAGCCATTGAGAAAAATACTTAATATGTTGCAGTTTCAGAAAAAAAAAGAAAAATTAATAAAACACTTGAATAATTTTGTCAATATGAAACTCCAATATAAGCTCCAATTAGCTTTTATAGTACTTAATGTAAAAGAATAACTCATGGAATTTCAATAACAATTCTCAGACCTCTTTAAGAAAAGCATTGAGAAAAAGCTTAGCAAGACAATTGTATCTTCCCTCTTCCAGGGTATTGCATTGTGATAAACATCTAAGTCTAGGAAAATACAAGCCTAAATATCAATCATTATAAATAAATTGAAAACTTTGGTATGACTGTGTTACAATGAAATAAGAATAAAACTCTTATAAAATGATTTATGATCATAAGAATATAGATTTTTTTTTCATGTATGAGGGAATAAACAAATACCAAATTCCTGCAGTTTGAAATTGTATACAAAAATTATATAAAGCTTTCGGGGATGATCCGGGATGTGGCTCAAGTGGTAGCGCACTCGCCTGGCATGCGCAGGGCGCTGGGTTCGATCCTCAGCATCACATAAAAATAAAAATAAAGATGTTGTGTCCACCGAAAAAAACTAAAAAATAAATATTAAAATACTCTCTCTCTCTCTCTCTAAAAAAATTATATAAAGCTTTAAAAATATTTCTGAGATTTCATGACAGAACCATAGGTATGCTGGAGATTAGGAATATGTCATACTCAGGATATAAGACGTTAAAAATTTTTAACAGATTCATTTAGATATAAGTCATATAATATAATTTCATTCTTCAAATGCTATAATTTAGTAGCTTCCAGTATATCACAAAGGTGTACCTTCTTTGCCACAATAAATTTTAGAATACTTTTTGGTTCTCCAAATCAATATTCTGCATCCCTTAGCCATCCAGCTCAGACTCCCCCAATCCCACAAAGCCATTAATCAACTATTAGTTTCCATAGATTGGCCTATTAGTGGTATTTTTATGAAATAATTATACAATATGTATGTGATAATTTATGGTTGGTGTTAACTTCATTTAGCATAGTAATTTCAGTGTTTACCCATGTTGTCATGTTGTACTCTGTCATCAAAACTTCGTCCTTTTGTATTACCAAAAAAACATTCCTTTCTTTGGATATAATATACTTTATTTGTTCATTCATTATATGATAGAATTTTGGGTTGTTGTTAATTTTTACATTGTATGATTGATGCTGCTATGAGCACTAGTGTGAGATTATTTGAAGTGGACATGTCTTCATTTCTCTTGGGTACATAGTGAGGAGTGGGATTGCTTTGTCCTAGGATAACTTGAAGTTTAAACATTGGATGAATGGGCAGCCTTTCCTCAAGGGTCCACACCATTTGTACATTCCACAAAACAGTGTGATCCCAACTTCATAGAATCACCTAAACTTTTTATTGTCTGTCCTTTTTATTATAGCCACTTGTTAGTATAAAGGTAAACCTTGCTGTGTTTTTCAATTATTGTATTGCCCTTTGTTTCATAAAAATCAATGATTAGGCTCCTCCAATGTTTTACATTTTACCTGCACTTTTCATGTGCAGGTAAAATATATATATATATATATATATATATATATATATATATATTACTTTTTGCACTTGCAAAATCAGCTCAAGTGATTTCCATTTAGATTTTTTTAACAAAATTTTAAAAGCAAGCATTTACTAATTACTTTTCAATAGGTGTTACTAATTACTTTTCATTGGGTTCCTTTGTTTTCACTTTAAATATTATTTATCTAAAGTAACCATATTAGGAGGGCAATTTTGTGTCCTTAGGGACCCAAGGGCAATTAATGACTATTACATAATGATTCATTAAAAATCAGTTGGAAAAAAAAGGAATGAATAGGTAAATATGTCCAGAAAATAGTGATGAAAACATTGAAAAGGGAAGATAAAAAAACTCCAGTGGTAATTAGATCAATAACCATACTTTAGATTAATTCTCATTCACTACCTAAGCCGAAATAATATTTGCATCAAGTGGAAACAAATTTATAAAATATACATTAATTTATCTGTAGCATGAAACTATTTATTGACATCATTTCTAAAAGCAGTGCCTGTTTCTTACTAAAGTAACATCCTAATTATATATTCAGGAAACTTTTTAAAAATATTGCTAAGCTCTTATGAGAACAGAGTTATTACACATCTACTAAGTAAAACAGTATACTAAATTGTAATTTTCTGAATTTTATCAGTGGCAAAATTACCTTAGAGAACAAATCAATGAGCACTTCTAAAATATAATTTAATCATAATCATAAACTAGTATATAAAAAATAAGCACTAGTTAAGCTTTTATCATTGTGTTGGGAGATTGCTTTAGAAAAGTGTACATTCGTGTACTTATTGCTTGGCCTAATTACCTGCTAACACTGGTGGGTAATCTCTTTTGTACAATTGTTTATAAACCTTAACTTCAACATCAGCCATGCTATCAAAATATTTTCTGGTGTATTTTGCTTTGACAAATCTAGTTGCCACTTTTTCAAATTGGATTTTTTAAAATCTTTGTAATGTAATAGTTTCTGAAAGGCTGAGTGTTCTGTGGAATTGCTTTTAGTAGTTACTGTTTGCCAATACATTTTCAGTCTACCTAGGGGTTTGTGCAAATAAGAGAAATGTGCACCCTCTGTGCAGAAGAGGGAATGTGCCAGTATTTAAGAGGGCAGGAGAGCAAAGCACTCCTGTGCAAAGCAAAGAACTTTCCTGTGTCACATGTATTGTGTGGTACTGAAGGGTGGTAAAATTGAAAAGCACACAACCATTCAGGTAGAGCTGGATGCATTGGAGCTGCTAATTATGTCATCATTGTCTCTGACATCTTCCATCCTGTAGTTCTAGATCAGAGAGATTGTTCAGCTGCTTTGCTGAACAAAGACAGAAATGTGTGCCTGGACTGTATTTTTACCCGCTATTGCTAAACAGCACTATTATCTTATATGGATACCTTTACAGACATATGATTTTAACAAATCTTTGTGAAATAGAGGTGACTTCAGTAAGTAAATTGAGACCCATAAAATATATGAACCTAAATATTCAACTTTCTAAAGCCAAGTTAATTCCAGTATTTTCATATGGAAAAGCTGACCCTCTTTAAGCCCAAGCATAAATCAGTTATTTTAGCTATCTCAGGTACACTTTATTATTTACTTTTGAAATTAATATTGTGATGTAGTGATGTAAGTTTATTTTCACAGTTGTAAAGACGACACTATCAATAATATAAATTCAATAAGTAAGCTGTGGTTAGGGAGCTAGATGGAAATACATTGTATTACCATCACATGTCACGATCTTGGGGAACAGTACTTTCCAAATAAATACCTTGAGAACAATTCCATTTTAGATAATTTTATGCTATTTTATCTACCCTACAGCACAATCATTTGATAGCTTACATGACATTTCTTTTGTTGTGTAACAGAAAAATGCAACAATTCTGTAGGAAAGAAGTCCAGGTAGATTCAACTGGGTTCTCTGGCTAAAGTCTTACAATGCTGAAGTCATATGTCAACCAGGATGACCTCTTCCCTGGTTGCTCTGGAACAGATCTGATTTCAAGCTCATTTTTCTTGTTGGTAAATCTACTTCCCTGATATTAAAAAAAAAAAAAAAAGCACTAGTTAACGCTCCACTTCCATGCTCCACTTCCATGCTGGTTTCCAACTGGGGCAGTAACTTCCACTTAGAGGAGGCCTATGTTCCTTCTCCCGTGACCCTCACCTTCTGCAAACAAGCATGTGTTCTTCTCATGTTTTGAATTTCTTTCTTCTGTGACTAGGTGGGAAATCTCTTCATTTGCAGTCAGTTTGCTTAACTGTCTCAGGTTCACCCATGTAATAATTTATAAATTGACTTGGAGGCTTAATAATATCTGCACCATCATTCTATGACAATATCTGGATTAGAGCTGGGCTGATAACAAAGGAACACAACATTTTGCTGCAATCTTTAGAATTCTACATGTTATAGCCTTATATAATATATCACAAAAAAACGAAGAGGGGAGCCAGGTGCAGCAGCACACACCTATAATCTGAGCAAATCAGAAGGTTGAGTCAGTAACATCACAAATTTAATGCCAGCTTTGGCAATTTAGCAAGGTCCTAAGCAACTTAGTGAGACCCTGTCCCAAATTTAATAAATAAATAAATAAATAAATAAATAAATAAATAAAAAGGTCTGGAGATGTGGGTTAATGATTAAATGCCCCTGGGTTCACTCTCCAGTACAAAACAAACAAAACTAAAGAGGTGTTATTCTTATTGAATAATAAACTTTCCTTCAAAGGTACATACTATGACTCAATTTTCCTTTCATGCACTCTCTTGTGTAGTGCGTAAATTTATCCTTACTCTATTTTAGACCATGCTGGAATGATTATCAATGACTATCCAATAGCCAAGTTCAATATCCTCCCCTGATTTCTTTGTGACATTTTACTAAGTGAATGATTCTTTGTTTATTCAGAATTTTCTCTTTCCTTAGCTACCATTGTACATAGCACTTTGATTTGGTACAGTTTAAAATCTCTATCTTAAATTATATATTAGTTAACTCAGAATATATTAATAAAAAATGTTTGCCAGACTATATGATATTTTAGGGAAACTAAAAGACATGCTTTTTTTCAAATTTACCATTTCTTTTCAGGTAAACTTTGTATATT